TAGGGAAACACTTATGGCCTTATTAAAGCTTATTTCAGGGGATTAATTTGATTTGTTCTAGTCCATTTCCCGGGCTTCTGACAATACCACTTGTAGAATCATTTATCCTAGGAGCTAAAGGCAGGCACCTCCTGATATCAATCTGCAGCTCTGTTGTCCTACTTCCCTAGCCTTTAGAACACTTAACACCACAATTCCATACAAGAAATATAATTAAAGTAGCAGCAGAGCCATTGTCTTGTGGGCACATTTCTTATATCCAAACCTCAGCTTGCTTAAGCATTGCAAAATAATCAGGAGCATCCTAGAAGAACAGCACAGAGTGCTCAACTTTGGTCATTTTCTCATAATGAAAATGGCTTTAATTTCAAGAAATTATGGTCTACAACCAAGGCACCTGATTTCAGCAGCAGCAAATTATTTTAAGTTTTAATAAGCAGTTATGTTAATGAACAAGAAAGCTATAATAAAAACAGTTTTTTGCTGTTTTAATGTTATGCTATGTTAGGGAAATCCTTATCATTGAAAACTATCTGAGAAGCATATTAATGTAGAAAATTTCAACAAATTACCTCTTGTATCCTAATTAGATAGGAAAAAAAGTGCTCATTGTAGCTGGATTGTACAATGTTTAATTAATTGTCAACCCTGTTCATTAGAGTCCTCCAGGACCTTTTGTTAGTAGAAAATTTCCTCTGGATGACCTCTTATTTTCCTTTCCTGCCATTTGTATGACCCTCATTGTTCCAGTGGCAGAGCAACCAAGGCACATGCAGATGTAAAAAAAGCTTCAGGACCACGATGACACCTGTGTTTCTTATGCCAAAAGCAAGTCAATCTTTTAAGCCCATGTGTTTCATGGCCTTGCTTCTCTCCCATATGCGTAGTTCCCTTCTGACAACTGGAGCTGCGTATGCAGAAACATTTCAGAATAAAAAGTTCATCTGTCTGGATGAACTGTGCTTTGTGAAGGAAGATGTTCCACTATCCGAACTATCAATGCACCTGCCATATCAGTTCCTGGGGGGGTCTTACAGTGAGCTTAAATAGCCAAAAAAATTACAGATTGTGCTAACTGTGGTGCAGGGCCAGATGCAGCTGTGATTGCAAAAGTATGAAAAGATAGGAGAAAAAGAAGAAATAGCAAAGGCCAACGCATCTCTGCTCTACCTAGGAAGGGAAGAGTTAAGTTTCCAGTAAATCTAAACTAGCTCATCAGTTCAAATTCAGCCTTGCTGAATTTTCAAGGAGGTCAGATTTATCAACAGTGCAGGATTTTCCCATTCTGATGTAAATGTTGTTATTCATATTGCCATAAGTAATCCAAAATTAATGAGGTTCCATCATACTATACATAGGACAGAGATACTTGGAATGCATCATTTCTACAGCAAGCCTACAGATCATGTGAGGTCTAATGATTTATTCTGTCACATGCTTTTCCAATTATGTTCTGATTTTTGTTTCAATTGCTAAGGAACTAAATCTAAGTTATTTAAAAGCCTAGATTTATGCTTGATTTTGTAATAAGCCATTCCAAATGGAATTAAAAAAAAAAAATATCCTGATCTTGTTTAGGGTCCATGCTTCCAATTTTGTCCATGGAAAACCAAGAACCTCATGACTGTGCAGCTGCAATAGGAAGAAATAACGTCCTTCCCTGGCCTGCATTAACCTTGACAGAGATTTGACTTTACATTGTGACTGAGTGCACTGATTACTAAAACATTACTTTTTTTCACAGTGGTGTGGGATTCGTTGTTCTCTTTTGTTTCGACCTGGAATAATCCGAAATACAACAACACAACTGTCACATATACTACTATGAAGAGTTTCTGTTTAAATGCATTCATATTTTCTAAGAAAATCCTCTTCCTTTAGACTTTGTTAATGATGATATGTATTCCCTTCAAAATCAGGTGTTCTTTGAGGAAGTAGGAGTGATCAGGATGTAAGGATCATTTTGAAACATCACTATTTCAGAAAGTGCAAAAATAAGTCTGAAAACCCATCTCCACTTTATTCAATCTCTTTTCTGTTATTAAAGCTTATAACGTATTTTAAAACTTTCAAAAATTTGGTATGTGTGGAAGAAAATCATATATAGTATTTATAAAATCAACAGTTCTTTTAGCGTTCTGGTGCACAGAGCCATGTTTAATATATTTGAGCTCACTTACTATAACTACAGTGGCTGTTGTTAAAATTTACTTAAGTAGTAGAAACTTCAGTTAATTTTGCAATAGTATCACCATGCAAAGATTCGTAACGTTACTAGATATGGCAACTATTTTTTTCAAGGAATGAACAAAGGTATGTCACATTGTTACTCAAAGAAAAATGTTATACTTTTACCCCACCCTCCAAAAAAAAAAATTTGAGAAAACACCTGTTTGCTCTTTTCCTCTCTCAAAATAAATATATCTCCCTGAAGTTTCTGGTTGTAATACATGTATATGTGTTTGTGTGTGTGTGAGAGACAAATAGAATTTCTGCCCCGACACACATCATGTAGTACAAGAGACTCTTCAACACATATTTTCAGCACAGAATGTCTTCTTCATCTTTGTATATATAACTAAGCAAGCATAGCAAATAGGAATTGCTAACAGTAGTACAGATAATGACTATAAAACTGCATAAAACTAATAGGAACCAGAATATTAAACTACAAAAAAAAAAAAAAAAATTACCTCCTTTCAACTTCTACCAGCAATTTTGTGATACTAATTTAACTGAACTGGAGCTGTAGACTAGTCGTTCCAGAACCATTAAGTACTTTCCGTTCTTGCCAGTTCTTCGTTGGAGGCCCTACTGGGGTCTAGAGTATCACAAAGGACACACTCCTGCGTGAGTGGATCAGCAAGACAAGAAACTTCAGTCAAATGAAATGTGATCACATTTTAACATGGAAAATATTTTATTGGAAGCAAAGAATATTTCACGTTTTGCTGGCTTCCTCTCCTTTGGGTACCTCTTACCCCTGCCCCAAAGAAAAAAATTAGTCAGGAGAATCAGATGTCAGATGGCCTGGATGCCTGCCATCAACCCCCATAAATTTGGAGACATCATCTAACTATGTGTAAACCAGATTTGACAATTCATTATTTAACTACCACTGTAAAAGTGGTAGTTAAATAACTAAAATTCATATTCTTCCTTTTTTGCACTTGGCTTCTTGTCCGTTTTATTCTTGGCCTGCACAGAATTTCCTACAAGGAAATGTACCACATGGTGGCCAACTATTATGAATTATTGTTACTGTATGGAGAACTTTTTCAATTTTGCACATAATCCTTTTAAAAGTTGTGCAATAACTTTGTCCATAGAATTAAGCTGAAGTTTTTTGTAGTAGCATGAATAAAAAGAAAACCTCAAACATTCGCACTCATTTTTCCGTGTTTTCTAACAAAAAATATCACCTTTTCTTTAACTGTGTTTTAGCAGAGGGATCTCATTCTGCTTTTCTGGTTTAGGAATTCAATATGGGATTTACAAAACTGGAAAAGAAGGCACTGAAGAAGGCTCTAAAAACTCTTTCAATGTGATGTAGCTATACAAGCTGACATGTTTTAGGAAGGAATACTATGTTTTCCAATTGTTCTATGACAGCAGAAGCAAATTAAATTCTCGATGTTTCAATGTACTACCAGTGATCATAAGCTAGTAAAGCACTGTTGTGTGACATAATATTAATAATGCCCTTTGTTCAGGTAAATTAATGCACGAGTTGATGTATGTGATATTTACAGCCTTATTGGCTTCCAGAGTTGTAGGGTCTCACAGTCTAAAAACATATCAACTGTTTGTTGGGAAAAAGTCAATATTGGATCAACCCTACTCTTGCAAATATTCCTGTTATTCATTCACAATGTTTTCTTACCAGTATCACACAAGTACTCGTCCTGTAGAAGTAACAAATTAATTGGCTGACAAGGAACAGCTTTCTCCTGGACGTGGAAATGCATTCAGCTGCCAAAGCAAATACAGCTTTCAACCTCTTCTTCTTGACGAACTGCTTAAGAAGTTCCTTCAAGTACTTTTCTCCTTCTTTTGGTTAACACACAAGTTTTTATTTTATCATTTCAAAACCTGTAATTTTATGACGGCATTCCAGAAGAGAATCCAAATTAATTTTATAATTTCATACTACTGCGTATGTATTATATCAGTGCATGTTGTAGCGATTCAGATTCCTTAAGATACAGAGCCGAATTGTGCTCCAAACTCTATTACTGCAACTCTGCTGACTTCATTGTTGTACTGAAAAATTTCTTCCAATAAAAGTTGCATAAACAAGCTGATGCTATTGAAATGGACAATCTTAAAGAACATTCCAATGTGGAAGAAAAGCAAGCCAGACAAACAGGGCAAGATTTTTAAATGCTTTCATTCACAAGTTGTCCAGGGAAAGTTATGCCTAGTGTAAATATTCATGTACTCTCTTACAAACAACTACATACCCATTGTATATTGTTACACTTGCATGTATCTTAACCTACTTCTGGGAACAAACTGATTTCCTAAATGCTTCTGCATCATCTTAATCACTTCACCTGTATATTGCTACAGTGAGAATATATCTACCAAAACATTCAGCCTTCGAACTAAGAACTTACTTTATGGGTGTGAGTACATAACATGTATTCTTCACTAGCTGCCTAATTTACTTGTAGGCTGATCTTCAATATCCAAAGACACTGAGTCTTTTGCTTTGATATTTTTTGTGTGGTTCATTTCTTCAATGTTTCACGCCTAGTAGTCAATCTTAGTGGATATTTAATGTTATTCAGGTTAGACTTGAGCCCCTCACCAGGAAGCTCTCAGGACTGTGTTCTTTGTGCAGATGTGTAACCATCCTGGGAAACAGGGTCCCAAGTTTGGCTTGGGATCATCAGGTGCTCAAGATATACTGATAGACACACACAGTGGTCATAAGTTTCCTGATGCTTCAGTGTTGGTTATCTGTAAAAGGCATTTTTCTTATTTTCCGTTTCTAGGAATTTGTCATGATTGTTGTCTTTGGTTTGGAATTTATTATTCGTATCTGGTCTGCTGGATGCTGTTGTCGATACCGAGGATGGCAAGGAAGACTGCGCTTTGCAAGGAAACCGTTCTGTGTAATAGGTGAGTGCCCCAGCTGTAGTTTATTTTAAGATAAAAATAAAAGCCCTCCCTTCTGTTTTGCTTCTGAATGAAAACTAATTGAATCAGACTGTATTTACAGTAAGCAAGTGTAAATACAGAATAGTTGTGTGTCACCTATCATCTGCCCAAGGCTTTTCTAGATATAAAATCACAAAGTCCCTAAATACTAGTCAGCCCATGTTTCTTACTTTCTCCAAAAGACATCTTCCTATGCATGTCATACAGCTGGCATGTGCATTGGAAGCATGAGGAATTAAGAGATAATTTCCTTGGAATTCATGGGAGCTGTATGCATTTAATGGGCACAAATACGCACGCGTACATACCATGAACATATGTGCATACACTGTGTTCTCCTTATTTAACCTCTGTGATCAAACATGTGCACACTGCAATAAATTTGAAAATTTACCTAGAAATGATTCTGACAGCATTGCTGCTTCCTGTATTGCTGCTTTCTGCATGACAGTCTAGGTATCTTCCCTGCCAGCGACTCTGGCTTACGATATAGCATACTTCTACAACTATTTCAAGAGACTTCTTTGCTCTAGAAATTCTCTCTGAGAATAGTGAATAGGTCCACAACCAGTCAAAACCTTACTTTTAAAAAGACCCTGCAGGAAAGCAGTTTCCTGATAAAGGTAGAAATCACGGATGGCTAACCAAATTAACCTCATAATTTCTTGTTTTTCTAATGGTTTGGTGCAAATGCTTTTTACAGGACGTCTGTGGAACTTCAGGATATTCATGTCCCAACTTCATTCTCAGCCTCCTTCCTCTCTCCAGCCTTTCGTTTCATCTGCTTGTATCTTAAATTAACTTATAGAGTGATTGGGGCAGGAAACACATTCTCCCATGCATCTATACAGCAGCTAGCACAACAGAGTCACACACTTATAGCAGTTACACATACAGGTCTCAGTGTAAACAGTGAATAACAATATCGTCATGTACATGAATTGAATCCTTGTCTAAAAAGGAGTTATGCAGTGTCTCATGGCATAGCAGACTGGTGCACTGGTTAGGGCTAATCTGTAAAGAAAGCTTTTGCCTTCTGCCTCATTCCCTGGTAAATCCACACCTTCTTCTGCTGAGGAATTCCTGCAATGGAGAAAGGGGCTTTAGCAAGAGGTGCATAAGTGCATAAGGTGCATAAGGGGTGGAAAAGCATCGCAGACTGTCTCCCTCTCGGAAGAAATTGCCCCATCTATGCTATTTTAAGGCACTGTGGGAGAGAGGCAAGTATTGGAATTGGCACTTGTTTTGTTCAGGCTGCAGGGGAGGTGGGTAGGTACCTTACCCAACCCTGCAGGCACCAGGCCACACACTTGTCCCAAGGTTCCCATGCCTAGCTGAAAGGAAAGTGGAAAGAAAATTCAAAAAATTTCCCAGCCTTTACCAGCAACCTGTCAAGGGAAGGCTAGAAATTCCAACATTCACTTTCCCGGGCATCAACAAACACGGCCACCCTCCTTAACCTGACTTACCGTTATTCCAAGATTTTGTGGTGCACCTGAAACTTTGCAGTAGTCAGGTTTTGTCAGCACACAATCACAAGAAAGCACCAGACTGTTAATTTAGTAAAATTAACCTACTTCAGCCGTTTAGAACTTACTAGAAACATATAAATATTTAAAGAATTTGAACTTACTAGAAGCATTTGGCATCCCAGAGTGGTTTGCTGCTCTCCCAAATGCCATCGTGCAGAAGCACTAGCAGTTTGTTCAATTCAGCTTTCGATTCTCTTCCCTTTCCTGTCTCCGTTCAACTGGCGAGTTTTCTGCCAGTTATTAACTTCAGTCTAAGGTGTTAATTCCCAGCAAAAGTGAATAGAGTGGTTTTACCTTGTCCAAAACTCTGCCTGTCATCGTGGAGTGACTGACATAGATTTCCCCCCTTTCCTTTAAACAGCTCATAACTACCCTCCTACTGTTTGTGAAATAGTTCAGGCAGGTCTCCTTGTGCAAGCCTCAGTGAGCGTTGGGGTTTTCTTCACTTGACTGTGGTTTTTTCCTCCATTCTCTGGAATTCACCTGCTCTTCTTGTTGCACCTATATTCACGTAGGCAATATCTAGCCTTAAAGCTAGATAAAGATCTTCTCTGTCCCTCCTGCAACTCCATCACTTGCTAGCAGGATTAATTAGTAGCCAACAGTCTTTTGCTTGTGGATGCCTTCCTGTGCTGGTTCACTGGATGAAAAGGGGACTTTGTTCTGCAAACCACTGTACAGCTGCTTGTGCAGCTTTTGGAAACTAAACCGGTAGCTTGAATTTCTTGCCGTTAATTATTCTGTGTCTCTCTCCAGATTTAATCTTTTGAAGAAGAACCTCTAGCAAGTCATCTTGCAACTCTTGCTACATAGAGTAACTCTTTGCCAGACACTGTGGCTTTGCGGCCATGGCAAAGTGTGCCCAAGCAGCAAAGGCCAACAGGTTGTATTAGCTAGAGCACTAGGTCAAGATAGATGATTATCTCCCTTTACTCAGCACTCATCAGACCACATGTAAGATACTACAGCCCACTTGCTCCTTCCAACACCATACATGAAAGACATCAATAAACTGGAGTGAGTTCAGTGAAGGCCACCAAGCTTTCCTTCACTTCACCAAATGCTCCACCACTCCAGGCAGTGCTGGAGCATTTGCCCTGTGAGGAAAGGCTGAGGGACCTGGGCTTGTTCAGCCTGGAGAAAGGAGGCTTCAGGGGGACTTAGTGCTTCAGTGAAATTAGTGCTACGGTCTCCTTAAAAGCACATGGCCAGTTTCGGCCTATTACTTTTCATGTGTTTGTTTAATTATTTACTTAGTCATCCATTCAGTTATTCTTTCTGCTTATTGCTACAGTAGAACAATAATATTTTAGAAGACTTAGTCTGTTTACTATTAATTAAATTTGCTATATATCTCCAGCAGATCTGTTCTCTGATTATTTTTGTGATCAAACACAAATCACATAGGGGAATGGCCTAAGAGCTAGAAATAATAAATTCAAGAATTGCCTCAAGGGTCACATTCAGACGGCCTTTATTTTTTCCCATTAATAACCTAATAACCAGAAAAAATTTATTTGGGGCCAAAGCTCTGTGCTTACGTTAGAGTGCCTACAATGTCACTACCCTGACAAATTAGTTCATCAAGCATTGCTATGTGCTACCAGGTTAGTTATGATATCTATCAAATTACATGACAGTTTTATACCCTTGTTTATCTCTGTGAAAATGGGAATAATAATGTAGTATTAAACCTTGACTTGTATTTTGTTCCATGTCAGGAGTTATCTGCCATCGCTCATTTTCTCTGATTGTGTATGAGCTTGTGTATGTAATGTAAAGGGCATACCAACATACCCTCCCATGTATTTAATGTACTTAAAGATGTACTTACTTCTGCAAATCCTAAATTTCCCAGGCATATCAGTCTGAAGCTTGTCTGTTAGCCCTGCAGAGCAATGTTGCTGTGTTGTACTGCGCAGAAGAGTAGCAATCCAGGCACCGCATCTCCTCACTGCTGCCTCGGGGGGCCAAGGATGCTGATACTCGGGAAGAACTCTGTGTCTGCCCATGCCTTAGGAGGAACCATGCTCCCTGAAGAGCCTTGAAAGAAAAGAGGACATGTCTGCTAGTTGGGAAGAAAGCATGGCATCCCCTCCCTGCCAAGTCATTCAGGGACACTGAAAGAAATTAAGAGTCCATTGCCCTTTCTCTGGCAATGAGCCTCCTAGATAGTTGCATGAGACTGACAAAATTAAACTTCTGGCCACTGTCTTGTCTACATGAGAGGTTTTACCATCACAAAGAAACCTCGGTCTGTGAGGACAGCTGCCATACGAGGAGATATTATTCCTCATTGTAAAGATAATGAGGAATAATAAAAAGCTGTGGGTCAGAAGAATTAAATCCTGCCAATCTCACCTGCATGTCTGAAGTCTGCTAGGCTTTCAGAGGAACTTCTTTCCCTCCACTAACTCTGTAGGAGACTTTGGGACTCCTATGCGAGGAAGTCCAAGAAGAGCAAGAGAAGAGCACATGAGCACAGTTCCCTTCAAACCCTGGAAGCAGTGAATTTTAGTGCCTGAACTTTATGTGACTTCTAGATTTAAATTTGGGATTTGAAACTCCTATTTCAGATATTTCTCACCTTAAATTTGAACCCCCTTCTAGTAACATAACATTTCTCCAGGGCAACTAGACTTCCTGGTGATCCGGCCCGATGAAAGATTCCATGTATTTCAGTTAGTCCATTAGCAGTTTCCCCACAGCTGCTTCTATTTTACCTCTAGTCAAGCTACAGCCTGATGAAAATGTCATGAGTTCAAATTCTGTTGAGGCTGCAGAATGAACAAATTCCCAACAGGAAGCTTAAGTCCATTATCTGTAATCAGGCTCTTGAACTTCATGGCTGGCAAACCTCGTTTCAGAGCATTAAGTGATAGCAGCGGCTGTTGCGTATTACTGGATCTATTTTTCATTAATTAGAGTGGTAATGAACCATCATATGGCACTTTTGTCAAACCTTTGTAAACAAATCCATATCTAGTGTGTTACAAGATCTGCTGAACGTTTAATTTGAATTAATTCAATATATTTAAGTAATGATGCGTTGCGTGTCTGTCACCTTGGTATTTAGACACATTATATAGTTTAAATACAGACAGATAGTAAATCTACTGCTCACGATAAACAATATAAACAGCCATTTTACAGTATAATTTGAACTCTAAATAACCTAGCGATGGTCTGTAATTAAGTATATGCTTGACCAAGGAGACACATCTCACATCACATCTTGTTATAAATCCCAGCAAAATCAAGTACCAGCAGGAGCAAATTCCATGTTGAGGGATCTCCCGCCAGCCTGACTTGAACTCATCGCAGAAACACACTACCCACTTCACGCCAGAAAATACTCTGACATAGGTAGTGACTTTAAGACTGGAAATCAAAACTTCCTCAGATAATTTCAGCAGACATAATTATCTG